GCCGGAAGAAACAGATGCAAATTGGAGGAGTCCTCTGGCTCACATCGCTACCTGTAAGGAAAAATAACCCTGTAACTAGCAGCAGCAGATCTCCAAACCCCTCCACTACTCCTCTGGATTCACATACAGTCAGATTCCTACCAGACTCATGTGTCAGCAGGTCATAAAAAGTTTTGAGTTGTCTTTTCTTTTTCCGGCATTCTGGAAGAAGTTGTACTAACAATGAGCCACTGCTTGACAGCTCTGAATCCCAAGCTGTTGGGATACAGTGTGACTTCCAACATATTGCTTCCAGCCCCCACCACCCACAGGGAATGGCCTGGCAGGGGAAGCAGCACAGCCTGTTAGGAGGAGCCTCTAACAAAGAGATCCGTTATTCCCTGCTCTCAGCTAAAGGGCAGCACCTACATCAGCCAGTGCAAGGAGGACAGTTCAGCTTCTGGCAGGCCAAGAGATCAGAAGAGTGGTGATAATTTCATACTTTTTTTTTTTTTGTGCACTGTGTGGCCCAAGTTAAAGGATGCAGAAGGAAAGATACCATACGCAGAAAGGATGGAGGATTTCTTTTGTCTTGAGCTACAGCTTCAAACCCATACAGCAAAGCTAACCCTAGAGGGCTGAAGAAGGAGGAAAAGCATTAAACACCACCAACAGCTGTCAATGGACCTGGCTTTGCTCCAAGATCTGTCAGAGCTGAGACTGATTGGGATATATGGTATCCTGGAAACAGTTGGTACCTTCAGCTGGTTATAAAGTCATATGAATTGTCTCGCTACCACCATAGCAACCATAGTTACAACCACAGCCTCCAGGAGGGAATCCAGGCTGTTGGAGGACAGTCCTGTGCCTATAGACCACATCCGATGGTACTGCAGTGATACGTGATCCAGTGCCAGAAGGGACCAAATTCGGAGTAGGAAGAAAAGCCAGTACTGTAATACATAGCAACTCACTATTGTCGCTAACATTAAGCATAATGATTTAAATGAACCTTTGGCATTATGCAGGGAGGCCCCTGTTATGTCAATCCCTACACGTCTTATCCCATGAATAACACCTGCAGCGTTGCACACCCATGTGTGGGCTGTGCAGGGCCACAGTCCTTGCACAGTGGCTAAGCCAGCCTGTCTGTCCCTGCTTCTGATGTTACTCTGCAACACAGGCAAAAGAAACCGGCTTCTTTCATCTATAGCATTTATGGTTTTGGTAAGACACACTGTTGTATATACATTGTGTGGATGGGCAGTCGCCTGTATCAGTGCTCAGCTGGTGCAATGGCTTGTTAAGGCATGAGAGAAAAACAGCATATAAGCCATGAGGAATCAAGGTGATAGCTGGGTGGCATGGTTTAGTGTGAGGTGTCCCTGCCCATGGCAGGGGGGTTGGAACTAGATGATCTTAAGGTCCTTTCCAACCCTAACTATTCTATGATTTTATGATCTCTTGCACAGAGCTCTATGGGAAGATACAGAAGATGGACAAGTATGTGTGCAAGCACTGCTGCAAGCATCCGCCCTGTGGAAATGGCACATCTAACCTGGGTACCTTTGACCATAATAACAAGTCAGATTTTGGCAGGGGCTCAGGATAGGGATTTCTCTGATACAGCAGTGGTGGCAATGAGGGCTTGTATGTGGTTCCCTCCTGAGAAACTAGAGATGGCCACATACAGCTGGTGTCACCCAGGGCCTCAGCACCATCACATCTCACTGAGCCTCCTGACCATGGGGTTTTATCTTGACTTAGTGTTCAGGATGAGTGCTCTTCTCACACCAGTCTTACTGCAGATCTGAAAATGCAAACCCCTTCTCTTGGAGCCAAGAATTATTTCCATGGTGTTTATTTAATAAAGGCACCTATCCAATACTTGGGGTCTCCTGGCACAATTAATTATGAATTAAATTCAGTCTCTTCAGTGTTATTCCTGCAAACTGGTTTGATTCAGTTTGCAAGAGTAACGCTGGCTGACTTGACACTGTTCATCATCTAGAGAGCCTTTGCTCTCCAGCACATTTGAGAAACTGCAGTGGGCTTCAGAAACCACAATATGGGGCTTCCAGGAGCCCACATGAACGATATCCCATCCATATCTTCTGCTTTCCCAAGTGGCATCTGGTCAACTTGCCCATGGAAGGAAGTGAATTCCCTGCTTGAAGCCTCAAAGGTTGCAAACGGAACTCCAAAGCATCCCTGGAGAGCACCAGGAAGATGTTGGTGGCTTCGTCTGAACATTTTCAGTAGCTGCCATGGGACACATTTTGAGGCAGAGGCATGGACCATATCACAAGTGCTCCTGTGAGAGAAGAAGAGTCGCATTTCCTCATCAGATACAGCCAGTGGAGGTACTGCTAAATGAGGACCATCAAACAGTGTGTGCAGATTTCTCATGATCCAAAGGGACCTCAACCACCTCCTCTTATTGTCCACATCATTGCTCATTATCCCTGCTGCTCTGTCTGGGTAGTGTCCTAGCCAGCTGCTCTACAGTCAGTCTCAGCTAGCAGCTGCCTGTTGCCCAGTGACACCCAAAGAAAGGAAGAGAGCCCTCAACCAGTGCCCAGCCCTCAAAGGCCCCGACATATTGCTTGGGAGGAAGGACAGAGAGGCTCTGAGCTTACCTGTTACCTGAAAGCCCCTCATGAAGAGGCACAACCACCCACTTCCACATCATGATCTCTGCAAGGAGCAGGAGCAAAGCCCCACCACATTGCAGGGCACTGTGCGGGCTGAAGGCAGGCAGCACATCCCACAGCACCCACAGGGCTTGGTTCAGCCTGTGTGCCGTAGAGGCATATGTGCCGCTCAGGACTATACAGATCCTGTGGTGGAGACAGGAGCTTGTTCTTTTCTTCCTTGTGGCCACAAACAAAAATAAATAGTTGTTTCTGCCAAACTCAAAACAGATTTAAACCATCTTTTTTTTTTTCCCAGCAGCAGTCAACCGCTGCCCCATCTCTCCTCCTTGCTTTTTGCAGCTTCTGGTGAAGCAACTTGGGAAAAAGTGCAGGCAGGAACCTGCCTGTGGGTTGTGGAGAGCAGAAGCAGAGGGAAAGTTCTCTTGGTGGTACTGCACTGTCCCCACCAGCCTCCCCACAAGATTTTGGTGCTATTAGACATAGTGGGCAGCCACAGCAGCAGCAGTTCATCTGTTTCACTCAGTGGGGCAGATTGCCCAGCCCAATGGCTGGATCCTACTATGTACCAGCCACCATCTGCACTGCACATGATGGCGTACCTAGGCTCCCTAATATCACCCTAAGGTTCTAATCACACAGACACCTTCTTCCTAAAGATATCCTACAGTTCCCAGTGTTATTGGGAAGCCAGGTTTAATATCCACCCTATTAATCTCCCCTTACTGCTGTTGCTCTCAAGCAAGTATAACTCACTATTACGAGTCTGGGAATAAAACTGCCAGAAACAAATAGCCAGCCCACTGCCATGGCAGAGCTCGTTCTCATAACACTGTCATTATACACTGAAGGTATATATTGCAGGTATAGGTTTAAACTGGTGGCTACATTTTATGCACACTTGCAAAAGGAGCATGTAAAAAGCACACAGTGTGTAAAATTCACAGTTTAGGAACAGCTCCTGAAGGAGAGCCAACACAATCAGTTCTTGGGTGATTGTTGAATTGGGGTAACCCTGACACTGGAAAATACCTGGGTAGACACACTCTGTATGGAGAGTATACATACATCTATATATATCCTTTGGAAGGAGCTGCCTTCACTCCCAAATAGGTTCACTGGGCATGGGCCCAGATCCCTCCTGTCCACTGTCCTGGGTGAATGAAGAGCTGTATGCAGCTCTGCCAGCACTGCCCCACTGCACTCATTCGGTTACCTTTCAGCATTGCTCACAGAAATGGGTGGGTGTCTTGCCTTAAGTCACCAGCAGCTGACATTCTTCTCCCCACCAGCCAAGCGTGAATCACCCTGAAATGGAGATCCAGCTCCTTGTTTCCTGACAACTAGTTAGCCCAAGCAGAGATCAAAGAGTAGGTTCCACATTGCTTCCTCTTCCCCTGCCTGCTGCTGGTTGGGCAGAGACTCTAGTGCTTGCAGCTGTGCCTCCCCTGGATGCTCCATGTGCCTGCTGCTGTCAGTGCATGCTGGCACTGGTTTTGTAGGACCTCACGTAAGCCAGGTCCTGGAAGGGCCTCCCCTGGTTGACACCCATCTCCCCTTTTATGCTCACACTGCTCCATCATGCTCTCATGTGTTCAGGCTGGAAGCACCACTCTTGGGAAAAGAATAAATGGAAAAGCCTGTTCCAGCAACCATGGTGCACGTTCCCCCTTAGAGCTCCACTGCCCCTGGGCACAAGTGAAGACAGGACCCCTGGGGCTGTGCCTCTGCAGGCTGATCCCACATCTCTGGTCACTGAATGTGCAGAGGAAGGCAGGTTTTGGCCCCCCTCACACCTGCACTTGAGGTGCTTCCCAGGGGAATGCAGGGAGGACCATGCTCTTCCATAACAGCCCTCCCAGGGCCACATCCCTCCACTGCCACTGCTCCCTGGGCCTCGGCCTCAGTGCCTCACTCCACTGCAGATGTCCTCTGCCACTTTCCCCAGCATCACAGATACAAGCAGAACTGCAGCTGCTCCCCTGACAGCCTCTATCCAGTGGGTATGAAGTGGGATTATGGCAGCCCCCAGCTACGGGGGAGCCCATTATTACTGCCCCGGCGCTGTGGCCCCTCTGGGACTCTGGGGCGCAGCACCCCCCCCCCCCCCCCCCCCCCGCCAACCCCCCTCAAAACAGAACCAGAAGTTTGTGCTGCTGAATTCAGCCTTTTCTCAGCAGGGAACGACCCCCGTATCAGCCCCACACCCGTGAGCAAGGCGAGGGGGAAACCGCTCGGGGCACAAAAGGCCGGGAAGGAGAGGGTTGCGCCCCGCTTTCCCCCCCCCCCGCGGGGCGGCCGGGGAGCGGCGGGGGGCCGAGCCGTGCCGGGGGGCCGTGTCTGCGCGCCGCCCCGCAGGCGCTGCCGGGGGAGTGGTTTCTCCGCGCTGGCAGTGGCGGGGCCGGTCTGCGGGCGGGGAGGTGCCGCGGCGGCGGTGCCAGCGCCCGGCCCGGGAGGATGCGGACGCGCTGACGGAGCTGCCGGCTCCCTTCTGCCGCCGTGCATGGGCGGCGGGCGGCTGCCGCCTCGCCTCGCCTCGCCTGCCCCGCCGGTGAGCCGCGCCGGGACGCGGGGGGGCTCCGCCGGGCTCGGGGGAGGCGCGGGTGGAGGGACACGCCTGCGGGGTCCAGCGGTAGCTCGGGAAGAGCCGACACCTGTAAGTCCTCCGCTGGCAGCGCCGGGGAGGCACGAACCCGCTTCCCGGGACCGTGCCACCACCGCGGTGCAGCGCCGCCGTAGCGGAGCCGGAGCCGGGTGGGGCGACGGGAGCGGGGCGCGGTGCGGTGCGGGGAGAAGTCACTCCTTCGCCTGGCTAAAGGGGTAACGGGGGGGCAGAAAGTGAGCCCTAGACTTGGCTTGTTTCAACAGATTCTTACTCTTCTGAGTGAAGGACGTTCAGGGGAATTCACTGAAAAACTGGCTCTCCTTTAAAAAAAACCAACCCAGCAACAACTTGTTCGGCAGCCGACAGGGCTGTGTGAGGGAATCCTGATGAATGAGCATAGCCCTGAGGGAGCTGTTGGTTTGTGGGCTGCCATCGCCTCAGCTGTTCGTTTATTCCAGTTCTGTTTTTTTTTTTTTTCCAAGGCAACTTTTGAGGCGAGGAAGCGGGTAGGAAAGCTCAAGTTTAACACAGTGATACTTTTGCTTGCAGCCTAGCTAAACTGGGTAAAAGAGCACTGAAATCCTGCTTTTCCCATCAGGTAGCAAATGCCACACATACGATTACTTGTAGAGAAAGAAAAACCTTACTTTGCTCTGTAAATGAGGACTGTGTTTCACTCTGGGCAAGCGGTGTGAATATTTTCCAGCTGCCAAACGAACATACCACAAAATTTTTCTCTTCATCTGGGACAGAGCCGTGTTTGTAGATCTCTGAATATGCCTACAGTGACAGAGGGGAGTTAGGTGAGCCTGGATATACCATTAACCCCTCAAGCCACAATAAGCGATAGACAGAGGGAACATTTGTTTCCATTAGTCTTTTCGTGACTGGGATCGTTATTGCAGTCGTATAGGCAGTGCAGCAAAGGAAGCCCTGCTGGCTATAGGCTCAACTCTTACTGAAGGACCCAGAAGTTGGTGCTCACACCTGTCCTCTAGCCTGGCTCCTGGCACAATGCGTCCTTATGAGTAGCCTGAAATGAAAGTAAAGTGGGGACATCTGCCTACACACAACCAGGCTCAAGCCAATGTTTTCCATCTCTTAGATTTAATGAACAATCAATTTTGTGCCCAGAAAAGAATCCAGCTCACAGCTCAGGATTTTGGTAATTAATATCCCATTAAAAAAACAATATTTTCAGAGTCAACATTATGATTACAGAGAGAAAACAAGCAAACAGGGAATGGCTTGACCTGGTTTCCTTGCTTTTCCCAATCTAGACTGACAATTTGTCAGTGAAGTGGAATTTTCTCCAAAGTCCCTGGCACATTACTTTAGCAGAAGAGATGAATGTGCAAATATAGTTGCTACTTTCCCTCCCTTCTCACAATGATCTCTTTGTATTAAGCAACAGGCTTTTGCATAGATCAGGTATCAACCCCACAGTGTTACAGGCTGAAATTGCTCCTTCTCCCTCATTTCTGAAATTACACCCCTGCATTTGAGCCTATTTAACCACATTTGTCTATTTTGGAGAGGTTGGTCAGAGAAGCCTTGATCCGGGGCAGATCCTGTGTCATGTAAGGCAGGAGGCACCCTGCCAGGACTTCAAGGAGACTAGCATCTGCTTCAGCAAGAGCCCTTCCCTTTGCTCCTTAGACATGCATACATTCTCTGGAAAAATCTGTAAATGAATCAATTTCCTGCATTTTCCATCTTCAAATGAAGGCTTTATTGCAAACCCCAGGAAAACTGCCAAACCAACAGCTCCCGGGTAGAATGAAAAAGACCAATTGATACCAACAGGTCCTTCAAACCTTGTCTCAGCCCCCTGTTTCAGCCTTTGTCTCTCTTTGATTACAAGTCCTTAGGGACTGGGATCACCTCTCCTTCATAGTTTGGAGAGAGCATGACCAGTGCCATCCTCTGCAGAGCGGATGGATACCAGTACTGGAAGAAACTGTGGTCCAGCAGGACAATCCCCTGCTCTCACCAGGGTGCATTGACTGATTCCACGGCATTTTGCCCCACAGTGCTGTCTCCCTGTAGGACTAGGAGAAAATAGTCCAAGTCCATCTCCACTGCTGAGACCACTGTAACTTCTGTAAGATGTAACCTGAATTTTCATCTGAATTCTGTCCCTTCTGTGCAAATATTTAGGAGACCTCTAGATCCAGAAGGTGCATATTAATTGGTTGGCAGGAGGACTCATAGCCCTATTGATGCATATCTGCTTATCTGCTTTCAGCATTAATGACTCATTAAAAAAACAAACATACTGCATTTTTATTTTTTTCATCATTTCATTATTTTTAGCTGTGTGTTGTCCTCGCCCTCCATCGTGCCCCCTCCTACTGCGATAGCACGCGCTGTTCTCATATCCTCCATCTCAGGCTGAACCTCCCATACTTGGAAATTCAATTATGGTGACGGACTTTTAATTTCTAGAAAAAAACAGTGTTGAGTTGTGATGTCGTGACACCTGCGGTTATGCCCTTAACTACCAACAGGGGACATTAGAAGTCTCTTCATTGTCTTTGTACTCTTTAAGAGTGTCTTTTGGGTTTTCGTTTGCTTGTATTTTAAATCTAACACTTTTGCCGTGTTGGCTTTACTAAGTTCTCTACTAAATGCTCAATATCGCGTCATATTACAGCACTAATAGCACCATATTCTAATTTTCCCAAAGTTATAAGGGAAGAACTAGTTTAGGCATTAAATAAATATTGTTCCACCTGACAGTACCTAACCTCTTACCTTATTCTGTTACCCAGAAATGAATCCAGACATAGACTGTCTGGAGTATTCTTTCACAGCACTAGAAAGGCATTAGGCATTTCACAATCCATTTCCCATGACATTTCAATGTAAGAATCTCCTACTCTGTGTTGATGCTCTAAGATAACCTCTTTTCCCCACTTATTTTCTGAATTCAAGACCGTCCAGAAATACCTAGGGAGTAGCAGAAAGGGCGCAGGAAGCTAATTTTGATCTGTCACCAATTCCCAGATTACAGGTGTAATGATGAGAGACAACTGTGGCAGGAAATATGAGGAATGGGAGAATCATAATCTTCCAGAAACAAAAGCATTTATTTCTGAGACCCTTTAGTAACAAACAGTTGCTCTGCATTAGAAGGAATGATATACTGATTTGTAAGGTGCTGGCTTCATAAGGTTGTTTTGAGAAGCTGAAGCCAATGCAAGACTCACTGTGTGAGCAGAGCTCAGAAGTACTCTGCTTGGCACAGGCACCTCCTATCCCAAAAACAAGTTCTCAGATGAGAGAGTATTTGCACAGCAAAGATACCTCTGAAAACATGAAGAGATACCTCTAAAAACATTTAACAGATTGTTGAGGCTTATCTCTAATTTCGATGGGGCTGTTTTCTCAATGAGGTTCTCTCACATCAATTAGCTGCTGAATATGGTGTTAAGAAAAATAAATCCAACTTTCTCTTGGCACATGGTTCCTGAGGGCTCTATGGAGATTTCCGTGATACCAAGGTCTACCAGCATTTGGAGGAGCTGGCTTAGTCATTCTTCCCATCTGCTATGTTTCTTCCTCCCTCCGCTGCTCTGCACATGCTTCCTGGCTAGCTACTCCTCATCCCTACCCCTGAGCATCCTGGCTGGCTGCCCTACTCTCCTCCCTTGCCATACCTATCCCTTGTGGCATCTTCCACGAGGAAGTTCAGGTAGTTTAGTGCTGAGATCAAAGAGCTGAAATAAATTAGCTTCTCTAAAGTAGCCAGGAGAAAGAAAAAGAAGAAATAAAACCCACCAAGGAAGCACCCATTCGAACATCATTTGAAAAAAAACTGAGTTAAATCATGCTCAAATCATGAGATTACTTTAAAAACTGTGGTAGTTAAATGCAGGCACATTTAGTTCTTTTTCCTTCTTTGACCGTTTGAGTGAAGTTTCTAGCTCCTTTTTGCAAACAGGGCCGGTAGGAACTTGGACAACTACAACAAACTGGAATTTGAGCCTTGCGTGTAGTCATGGTGCTCCAGGAGCAGGAGATGTCAGAACAACACTTCCCCAGTGTCTCTCTGTGCAACATGAGGCATCAAGGAGGCTGAGTTAGAGTGATCTGCCAGGACCATGGCCTTTGCAAGCCTGTGTTTCCTAGCGTTGGTAGTCCACAGATGAGTGTTTGAGAAATTCCCCAGGGTGATATTTACCCCAGGAGCTACTTTGGAGCAGGAACAGTAAAAACTGCAGCTCACTGCAAAGTTAGCCGTGAGAGGCAGCGCGGTCTGGAAATAGCAGCCTCCTACCCCTTTTCGCTCTCCCAAACTATGTGCTGTGTCTCGTGGTGAAATGCCTGCTCCTCCACATTGAGAGTCATTTCATCTCGCTGCTTCCTGAGAGAGATCGGCATCGTCTGCAGAGCACATGCTGCCGAGGAGAGGAAGGCAGTTTTGGCCTGTGGAGAGCAGAACTCAAGTACTGCGTGGGTGGCCGAAGACAAGAGCTTCTGAGATGAGGGAACAGAACAGATCTCTAATCTCCAGACTCTGACACATATCGCACTTCTCTCAGTTGCTTAGGGAAGAGATTTGCATCCAAAAAGAAGTGGGATGTTTAAATAGCAGTTCATACACACACGCGTTTATCTTCTGTGGCCCATGTGGTAATCTGCATTTCACTAGTCCCATGGAATCCACAACACTTCATAAAGTGCATCCATTACAGATGTGCAAGCAGGAGAAATAAAGGAGCCGTCCAAGTTCCTATCTGCAGTGTCCAAAAGCTGAGCTCAGTAGGCAGTCATGGAAATTGGAGGCTGAAGGGTGTCAATGAGGTAAGTGCTTACTCTATGTTGTGCCAAGATGCTGAAGATGCTAGTGTCCCATCTTCAGCTGAGCTACTGGGCATGGTCCTACCTATGCATGGCCCAGGACACCTGTGTGTCCTGAAGCACTGCAGGGTCTAAGCTGT